ACGTCAACGCTCCGACAGTGAGCACGTTCCTTTATTTCGATTTAGCGATAGACTCCTCCATCAGCTCAATTACATGCGAAGGTTGGTTGACGTGAGCGACACAACTTGTCTGGAGAACCTCCGTATGGATCGTAATTCATTCGGTCGTCTATGTTACCTTCTTGAAAGTTCTGGCGGACTTCGTCCATCCAGAAATGTTGCACCCAGCGAGCAAATTGCAATTTTTCTCTCAGTCCTAGCTCATCATAAGAAAAATGTCACTTTGAAGCTTGATTTTGTAAGATCTGGTAGGACAATAAGCAAATACTTTAATCGTGTTCTTGATGCGGTGATACGGGTTCAGTGGATCTTAGCCGTGCATCCAAAGGCAGTAGAAGCCGATTGTGTTGATGAAAGGTGGAAATGGTTCAAGGTAACCTAATACACTTTTCACAACGTGTTACCGTTTTGTTAGTTCAATCCATAAAGTAATAACTTTTCGTTATTTCTTTTTCGTTAGGGATGTCTAGGAGCACTAGATGGAACCTACATTGATGTGCGAGTTCCTTCCATTGACAAGGCACGATATAGAAACCGTAAGGGTAGTGTATCTGTTAATGTACTTGGCGTTTGCGATAAAAATATGAACTTTGTGTACATGCTAAGTGGTTGGGAGGGGTCAGTTGCGGATAGTCGTGTCTTGCGCGATGCGGTTACTAGGACGAATGGTCTACGCGTTTCAAACGGTATTATCTCTTATATAATATATGCCATACATAAACATAGAAACTTAAAACACACATAGTGCCTTAATCTTTGTTACAAAATGTGTCACACAGGAAATTATTATTTGGTGGATGGTGGGTATACGAATGGTCCTGGGTTTTTAGCGCCATATAGGGGTGTCAGATACCACTTACAGGAATGGGGTACCGGAAATCGCAGGCCACGAAACTTTAGAGAATTGTACAACCTTCGTCATGCTAAGGCTAGAAATGTGATTGAGCGTGCGTTTGGTATTTTGAAGATGCGATGGGCAATTCTTAGGAGTTGTTCATATTATACCATTAGGACACAAAATCGCATTATTATGGCATGTGCGCTCCTCCACAACTTCATACGCACCTCAATGGCTAATGATCCCATGGAAGCACTAGTCCCTGAGATACCGACTAACGGAGTGTCCACAACTACGAATGAAGATGTGTTGATAGACCAGGTGGAGGCTAGCCCAGAATGGACACAATTTCGTGACCGATTGGCACAAGATATGTTCAATGATTGGGATCGTAATGTCTTTTAGTTGAATAATTCTGTAAACAGAATCATGTGAGAGACGACATTTTTTTCTTTTCTATGCACCATTTCTTATGTCACGGTTTTGTCATTGCATGGCAAAATTAATTGGTCTTTTTTTAGATGACAGAATATGATGAGATACATAATATGTTCTGTATTCATTAAGCATTAATTTACAATTTTTAGCCTTCTTCGTTTACCAGATGATGCCTTTATTTCTTTTATATGCAATGCCATTATCTTAGGAATAATGATTAAATCAATCCTTTCGTGCAATAGTATTGTCTGCACAGGTATCACCATGGACTATTCGTGTAGCCATGACACTGGGAGGGCTTCTTCACAACCGAGTCGACGCCGTGTTTGGAGTCCTGCTGAGGAGCATGCCCTAATAGATATTTTAAAAGATATGGTTAACGAGGGTTGGAGGGCAGACAATGGTTTTAGGCAGGGTTACAATTTTGAGAT